GGCTTCTTTGGTCTATTGGGTAAGCACGGCGTTATTCAAGATTGCGGGAGTGGCTGCGAATGTTTCACGCGCTATCTCCACAAATTGGAGTTATTCAACTCGGCGAATGGCTGGAAGACATGGATATCCATGCCAGTTTGACAAGACTACGCAGCGCGCTCTGCATACGATCATCCCTTGCACGCAACATGCCTTTTGCATCGACGTGTTTTGTACCATCAGGACACATGCAAGTCATGCTTGTCATAGGAAAGTTTGTGGCAAGCTGAAAGACGGAATTACATGGAACAAAGTTGGTGGAGGATGGAGTTTCATGTCTACACCAACTGTGTCGAGTCACAGTCATTCCATCGATCAGTCCTTGAACGGGGACCATGTTCCAGCTCTGACTACGGGCATTTGCTTCGATCAGCACACTACCACCAAGGGCCTGCTGCGCTTGTATTAGCGCGCACAAGTGTGAGGTGCGACTGGCATCCCGTCGATTTCCGCTTCCGGAACAAGGTCCCGCGAGCCTTACCCGCAGCAAACACGGCTTATACACCTTAAGGGAACTGACCAGAGTATTGTAATGTGCCCTGCTGTGCAAATCATGATGCATGCTGACTGTGTCAAAGTCCAACTCTCGAAAGAGTGTTTGCCTGACACCAGATTTATCAGAAATGATCCAAACTAGCGGTCGCTTACGTGTCTGCTCGGTGCACACAACTACACCTGAGTCTTCCACAGCGGTTGGATTCTTCAGACTGAATCGGCCGCATCAGCCTTGTCACGACAGCTCATGGAGAAATCCAAACGTTCACCGGACTGACGCTGATGCGAGGGAGACATCGAACTGGACTGGCCAGTGCGGGTGTTCGCATTTGGGGTCGCTACAGCTCCTTCATGGTCCACCGGAAGAATCAAATGACCCGAAGGAGACATTGTGAGATCAAACACCTGCGTTCCGGGACAACATTTTACCTCGCATCCCGCAGGACCGGGAATGTATAAACGCTGCTGGCCGATATCGAGAACGGCATTGAATTTACGAAGACTCCGAAGTCCAAGCAACGGTGGGAGACATGACCCCTCAATCACCGGTGCCGTGTATGTTCCCGGCAAAGCTTGACCTTCCACCGTCCGGAGTTTCAATGGGACCTGTTTGGCATACTCGGCGGCCTTTGATCCACTACCTACGCCTTCTACGTTTAGCTTCTTAGTCATGCGAAGTAGACGATCAGGAAGACCTGTGACTTCACCAACGCGTTTGACCGTCTCAGACCCCACAAGATTGTCATGTGCACCTGGATCAACCAGAAGCCCCGGCCGATCGCCCTCTAAGCGTGTCTTCATGTGGTACATTGCACCGCTTATCTCATCCGCAGGAAGAGTGAGCTCACTGCTGCCAACGTCTCCCTGCTCATCCGTTTCCCACCAGGCACACAACAAAGAGCTCAACTGCACGACCGCACGCTGACGATCGCCTTCCTTGCCTGTTCCTTTTCCCCCGTGGCTGGTGGATGATGTTACACCAAGCTCCTCAACAGAGGGCCCTTGCACCAAAGGTGGAGGGAATCGAGGTTCACTGGCATTAGCCCTTAAAACCTCAACCTGACGATCGGGAGCGGCATCTAAGTTATGATCACCCTCAGAAGCACCATCAGCGTGCCAACTCGGTGGATCGGATCGCCGAGATTTGCGAGATCGCTCGCTTCCAACCTGAGACACCGATTCCAGACGAGCCATCTCATCCTCAATGGCTGTTCCGAACCTAGAATTTTGTTGACGACCAACCGTGGATGAGGGAGGACTACTCGAGGTCCTGAGAGGTAATGAAATGCTACACCGCTGAGTGCACCGGGCATTCCAAGATTCCATGTTTCAGCAGGAGATTGACTTGCCGTGGTCATCATGGTCAAACCACCATGCCCGGGAGTCTGATACGTCACATGTGCACTTCCAGAGGAAGGGAAACCTGCAGAACCAGATGACAACACTTGGGGACATCTTCTCCATAGATGCTCAGTGCTACCGCACTTCGCGCACTTAAGCAGCTGGCCATCCTTGCCGCGCGGGTTTTGACGCGGTCCACGGCCCCCAGACTTACCCTTCCCCTTACTTTTACCCCCGGCGAAGGCCGCTTGCGGCAGGAATGCCGCATACGTACGGGCATACGGCCCTCTGGATAACCTACCGGCAGCAGCATCCCTCGGACGGAAATTTGCCCGACGATACCTCCGGGGTGGTTTCCCAGTCCACCTTCGCCACCGTCGGCGAGCCTGAAGGTATTCTTGCAACAACATGGTTCCGCGAGCATCCTCATCGCTTCGCACTTGCCCTCCAAGATTTACAGTGTTGTATGAAGGTGCCCCTTCATCATGAGAACCGTCATCGGTTTCGGTAGCCGACGAGAACTCTTCATCCTCGAAGAAACTTCCACATGTCATGCATTGTCCGTCACTAGAGTGATTTGACACGAATGCACTACCCATCATGCGCGACATGCCCTCATCACCGGCACCTGCAACATATGAAGGATTGACACCTGCACATGCAGATGAGGTTGCATCAGCCTGAGCCCCAGAGTGCCACCCACCACTACCACCAAACGCTCCAAAGTCATTATTAACATTCGGCGTACCAAAGGTGGGAAAGTAGTGATAGTTGCCTGGATCACCCGTACCAGCCTGTTGCTGTCCATGACGGAATCCGCCTTCAAACAAGTGACCCTGTCGGCGTATGCGATCCAGCAGCTGACCCATTTGCTGGTCATCCTGGGGAAGCTGACCGCCTAGTGGCTGCAACAACCTATCAAGATAATCAGCATTCACATTCAAGGCTCGCAGAAGCAACCATGCCAATCCGTTGTGGTTCACCCCCAAACCTCCTCCCTGCAGTGCCCTGTTTCTCAGCACGTCAAAGCGAACAAGTAAAGCATCAATGCTCTCGCCCGGAAGTCGAGAGAACTGCAAGAAATCACTGACTGCTTTAGTGGATGACTCCCCATCAAGAGGCGCATAACGAGCTGCGAGGGTCCTTACCAACAACATCAAACCTGTCAGATGCTGTCCGGTCTGCGGGTCCAGCACACCATGAGCCAGCTGCTCCGGAGGGAGCTCTCGCACCAGCTCCTTTGCTGAACCCTGAACTTGCAGCGCAGCAATTGGCCCCAAACGGACCGCCTCTACGTCAGTGGCGGATGCCCAAAGGATGAGATCACTCATCCATGCACGCAGTGTGTACGTGGAATTACGCTCAATCGCCCAACTCGGCGGCACCTTAAGGGTTGCTGTGCCAACGAATGGAGGACCGGCGTCGCCGATCGGCGCATGATTTCTTGGCATATGACCACCGTGATGGGGACCCCGCATGGGTCCGGGATACATACACCAGACCAGCTACAAATGAATCCCAACATTCCCACAAACCCAATCCAATGCGGGATGGACTGAAACTTGTGACTTTTGCCCCTGTTGGCCTGGAGCCTCCTACGCCTCTCACGCCTGTTCTCAAATCCATACTCGCGTCGGTGAAGATTCTTATCTTCAGAACGCCGGTATTGCCGCAACAGATCTCTGCCACGGTCCTGATGTGAGAAACGTGTAAGGCCGGATGACTCAACAAATGATTCATTGGTCCAGTTTCCACTGCGAATGAGAACTGACCAATCAGAACGGTGAGAGCTATCAGAAACAAACAGAAGAGTTAACAATCCCACCTTGATTCGAGTGAGCCTGCTCTGCAACTCGTTCCACCGGTAAGACATAAGTTCATCAGGCTTGGGGTATAGATATTGGGGATTCAAAGTTGGTGAACTTGGCAATGCTGGTTTGCGGATGGGCACTGATCCTGCAAGGCGAGGGCCTAAACCATAAGGAGTAACGGGCTCGGGAGTCAACCCTTGCAGAATCGACTCGCTGGGAGCCTCGGAAGCACCACTCGCCAAGCTGGAAAGCGAAGAATTGAAATCGGAATCCTGACTGCGACTCAGCGAAACAAGAACACGCCGGCCAGTCGCAACAAACATGGAGTCTGTCACTTCGTCTCCGGCGTGATCATGTTGACGATTCCCAATGCTTGTCGGAATGCCAACTGCTCGAAGCTCACGTCCAAGCTCAGAGTCGTTGTTGATGAAAGCATTGTAAAGACGGTCCATTTCCGACACATGTGAAGCATAGAGCTCATCGAGCTCCGTAATCATTCGCTGCGCGCTGTCGGCGAGATCCGGTTGTTCACGTTCGTAAGAAAGCCTGGTCCGGTTGGGCCCGTCTTGGGCCTCTGCGCTTGCACTCGAATTTGCGTAGAGCGTCTTCATGTACTGAATCTCTGCTGTCTGCAAAGAACCAATCTGCCCTTCAAGCATGCGAAAGCATCCACACATCAAAGAGCAGGTCAGAAGGAATACCGTCACGATCATCTTCAGCAGACAGCAGCTGGAGCCCCGGGATCGCAAACCCGAAAGCTCCGCTACCAAGTCGAAGCATGAGCCCCCGGATGGATGCTGATAGAAATGTAATGGGCTTGTCAAAGCAGCATGTCCCTTTTGCTCACAGCGATCAGTCATGGCTCGGCTCCAAAGGAAGAGTCCTGCACTTTACACGTCCCGATGGGCTCAAAGGAATTCTACTTGCAACTACGGACCTCGAGGCTAAATGCCAAGGTTGCAGGGCCAGCACGAGAATGGCAGCAAAAGCACTCGAAGATGCTTGGATCTGCTGCACGTGGACCTGAGGAGAGACTGGCAGGGGTTTCTACCTTTCAACTAAGCCCAGATTAGACGCAAAACGGACCTCCGTTTCCGAGAGTGCGTCGTGCCTCAAACGCAAATCTGTGGCCAGGTCCTCGACGGACATGACTGACAAGAGGCAGAGAGAAGGGCAACACTAAGGCAAAGACCCGGAACCTTGAAGTATCCAGTAGGACCATAAGGGTGTGTATGTTTTAACTATTACTATGATCATAACAGCAAGGAGTTTGAGGGAGTACCATTACTAAGAGTAATCAGGCTCCTATGCTACCTCACACGTAGCAGACGTTGCAATCGGCGGGGGCTAGGGGTCGGGCATCCATGGCCCAACCATGATGACTTCCATGGTCTACAATGCGTCGTAAGAGGAGAGCATCCATGACTCCACCATGATGACGTCCATGGCCCATTTCGAATTCACAGTTCAGAGCATCCATGACCCAACCACGATCAAGTCCATGGTTTACCCTGCTTTGAGCGGAGAGAAGCGTGATGAAGTCCACGGTCTAGTGAATCTAACCCGTCTTGACTGCAGAGCATCCGGGTCTAATCCGCAGACACAAGATGATAAACGCCAACATTTGTACTGGCATCTCAGACAGATGAAGGAAAAGCAGCCATTCTCCAATTTGTCGCGGGTAACCTTTTCCACACTTCGCGTCTCAGAACTCTAGATGCATTTTGTTTCTCACCCTGCCATGTCCCCCAGCGTTCGTTCCCACGTTCGTGTGGGCAAACGTCGCGGGCAGATTGGAGCTAGTTTAATAGTGCTGGTACTGTAGTACTGAAATTCGCACTGGTTACTAGCGCTGGTCCTACTCCTACTACTCCTGCTCCTGCTGCTGCTGGTGCTGCTACTGCCAGTGCGACTGCTGCTGCCGACTGCAGACTTCCGACAGCAACATCGACTGCTACTACGGCTGCTGCTGCTGCTGCTGCTGCTGCTGCCAGTGATGCTATTGCTGCTATTACTACTGCTACAACACCCACAAACACTGGCCGAGGCGGGCTCCAGGACGGTCCGAGCGGCTGAGTCGCAGGAAGCAGTGTGCACGTACGAGAGTTCAAGCGGTGACCGGAGTAATGGGGCACCACCCCACCTAACTACCAATCCCAAAGTCGTGAGGTAGGACGTGATAACCTTTTGCCGTGTAGATCTGTCGATATCGTATCCCACCCCATCCCCTGACCATTGAGGCTCACGGTTAGGGGTTTACGGTTTAGCCGTTTCGAGCTTGTTATGCGGCCAGCACACATGATATAAACGATGCCAGGGGAGCATGTGTACTAGCACATGGACAATTCCGGCATCGTTGCTGTAGCAAGTGATAGGGTTGCGCCTTGGAACGCGATCGTATTATTAGCGTTCCGTCGTAAATGACTCCAGGGCGACACAGACAACAGGCCTGTTCTCGGAGGTAGGCAAAGATAGGTAAAACCCAAAAGGGTAACCCGAAGCCACGCATCACTCCACAGCTCAAGTTTCACCTTCCGGTTTGAAGGGCCGTTTGAGTGTTTGGGGCGCGGTGCCTGCAGAAGGTGGTAGGGGTGCAGAGTTTCGAATTTAGAGAGATCGATGTTAGCAGGAGCACTGATTGAAAACACAATAGGGGCTGAAGGGTTTAGGGTTGGGTTGCTGTTTGAGTTTGTATCGCCACGAGGGACCCCTCATCCCATTAAGGTATTCAACTTAAGCCGCATGCCGACAACAATCCTCGACTGCGACCTCTACCACTATGCTAATAAACTGCGCCAGCTCACCAACCCTCACCGAAGTCGTGCCCGACTTGGTCAACAACAAAGACCCGGCGTCCTCAAGCAAAGCAACTGCAAGCTGCCATCTGCCTCCCAACCTGGATCTCCGTTGTGGCCGTCTCTTCATATGCACAAAAAGGCAGAAGAAATGAGAACAACACATTAAGCAACACGTGCTAAGGGGGTAAACCGGGTTGTCGTCGTCGATGCAATTACCGCCGGCTCGGCGTCGCCTTTGTTAAAACAAGCTCTGTCGCCGCTCTAGCATTCGTAGCACTGGCAAGATTGGCAATCGCTCCAGACTCGACTCACTAGACTGCGCGTTCGTTGTCTTCGTTGGGAAGCAGGCGTATCACCTAAACTCTTTATGGCGGAAGTTACTGAGTTTCATCGAGCAGCTGCGCTGCCCGCAAAGCCGAGGTGAAGAGCAGCAGGCTGGGTGGCCTTGGCTTCATAAAGCCACTCATGTGCGCAATCTTGCGGACCAGAAAACTCATAGAAATATGGGATCCCATATAACTGCACCGAATCCGAATCCTGGGGCTTAGAGGGTAGGGTTGCGAGTCCATCTATGGGAAACTCTTTGAGGGCTCAGAAAAATACGTTTCGGGCTTTAGAGTCTCAAGGTTCATGACCGACTGGCGTCAGCTCCGTAACTCCACCAGACATGCTCAAGCTTTGGCAACTTTCATGAAGCACGTTAACCTAGTCCTGCAAACTCCACCCGCTGCACCCACCGAGCTTGCTCATCAATCAGTGCAGCAGGAGACCTTTTGAGAAATGCATACTTTTGACGAAAATTCGAATCCGGCGGGGTTGTTAGTCAACTCTCAACCGTCGAACTGAACAACCAATCCGAAATGCGTCCTCGTGCAAGCCCTGCATAAGCCATGTACATGCTCTGAGCTCTCAGCAAGTCTGCTCACCAAATCTAATTTCCGTAAGCTGAAGCCATTCGATTCCAATCCACAGGATGCCACGTGTTTTTTTCATTTTATGGGGCTGATGTGTGCCCATGCAGCTGTTGCTTCTCCGGCCTGGCTCCCCTATATTCACGTACGCAGCTTCAAAACAAACGGACGCCCCTGTGCAAAGAGCCTACCGTAACCTCAAGCTGCAAACATCTGTAAACTGCAAGCCTTCGACTTTCAGTCTCACACCGCTTCGCCAGGGGGCGCCTGCCTCCACACCGAAGCTAATAGCCCCAAGGCCTAGTGATGGCCAGGATGTCAGTCTGTCATAACAGAACCGTATAGTGTCCCACAGGGTACGGTATGGTCTTGTAAGCACGGGTTGCATTCGTGACTTTTCCTTTGGAAGGCTCTTCTCAAAGCTTTCTTCTTTTGGGTTAGCCGTTGGATTCTTCAGAACCTTCTGAGACCGGTCAGACTCCTGCAAGAGCTAGACGAACTAGATATGTTCACCGGTTAACGAAACTCAGGAGTGCTGGACCATTTTTTGTCGGGGAATTTCTCCTGCGTCGTCGTCTGCTTTCCACGGCAACAAGTTTTTAAGTCTTGTCGCCTCCGCATTGCCAGGCAGATGCGGCAAAGATGTGGCCAACAAACAAGCAGCACTGCTGGTACACTGCAGTAAGTACACTCAACATCTCACATCTGACTGAGACGTCAGACGTCTTTGACTGGATTCTAAGTCTGTTGCATGCTGGGACAGAACGACCTGCTGATCAACGACAGCAATACTCCCCGTTTGTGGGGTATCTGTCCTGGACCAAAAACAAGCAAGCAACCAGAAGCTTAGCTGCCGTTCTCACTTCATGCCAGCATGTACAGCAATCGACGCCAAGGTCAACAGGGTCACTTATCGTCTGTGTTGACAGACTCCACTATCCCAAAGCACGTGGAAGTACTGAACACCTGCCTTTGCCCACTCGCGACCGCGGATGCAGGCGGTGGATGCAGCACCGAATGAAATTTCGTCCTCCGGAAATTTACTGCGTCAGTCAGTCAGCGCGTGTGTGTGTGTGTGTGTGTGTGGGTGTGCGTGTGTCGGTGCAAGTTTGTATGTTTGCTTCTGGCGCCCGCTCGCATGTAATTAATCCGCAAACGGTCTGGCTGTTGTGACAATCCGGCATGTTGTATGTGACGCACCATATAAGCCCCTGAAGATGACAAACAATAACAACAGTCGCCGGGGTTCCGGTTGCAAGGACCGGCTCTGCAGAAGCTGGAACCTGCATGCGCGGTCTGTGGGATGTTCGTTGCAAAGGCCAAGTGAACTAGGTTAGTGCTTCACAGGAGTCACTTGCTAAAAAAGATGCCTTACGACCTCTTCCTTCTTTCGGGAACCTCTATATGGGACAACCTCTACCCAGTGCTCGGCCGTAAAAGAAATGCAGGGTTTGCGTGTTCTGAAGGCTAGGTTTGATCTTAACGCCCTGCAATTTTCAAGCAAGTGTGGAAATCCAGGACTGCGCTCTCACTCCTTGCATGTACACAGGCTTTCGTGTGAAAACACACAACAGGCTTCTTTCGGCTGGATTTTGCAGTCACTGGATTTACGAAATATCCGCTGAAACTTGGCTTTCATATATATATATATATATCCTCACAGCCAAACGTTCCTTGCATCATTGTGCCGGCTGTTTGTTATGATTTCAAGATAGATCTCGAGAGGGATCTTCAGAAAGGGGCCTCTTCAAGTGCCGCGGAAAGCTTGAGGAACAATACTGCATGAAAAAGAACAACTTAGATGGAACAAGACATGACTGCTGTTCATGGTTGCCAGCCCCCGTGTCTGGAACCATTGGTGTGATCCGAAGCTGTGCCCGAGGCAAGCTCATTTAGTATTCGGCATTTAGGGGTCAGATCAAGGAAGGATTGACGAAGCCTTAGCTTCGAGCCAGATTCGGTGTCCGCCAGACCCGCAAACCGGCACTCCCGACAATTGGGCAATGTGCCAAGATCTGACACAGTACTGTACTTCCAAAGTGTCGGCCTCATTCTGAAAAATGATCGGCAATTCGCGTTTGAAACACGTTGTTCGTTCTTCCGTGTGTGCTGCTTGCGGCTAGGCTTAAAACCGGTGCCTCGTTGACAACCAAGAAATAGTCGGACCAACAGGATTCTATTCACTTCGTGCATCCAAGATACAGCTGGAATGCACCTTGCCACTGGTGGCCTCTGCTGCAGGCACTCAGTGCGGAATTGATTGCAATCAAGGTCGGCGGCCTCAGTTCAAGCATGCGTCAGTTGACGGTTCTCAGTTTTTTCAAGCACATACAAGTTTAGACCCAGAAAGCGTAAAGTCGAAAGCACCAAAAGCCTCGGTTACTTTGCAAAGTCTGGGCAAGCTTTTGAGACCTCAAGCATTGGAAATGTCCTTACACAGGCGGACCTCCAAGCATGGCTTGGCCAAATTCAAGGAACAGTGCTTGAGGGCAGTAGGCTGTCTGGCTGTAGTAGCACATATGAATGAAGTCTTTAAACATTCTTTCCGGGAAGCACGGAGAGCTCGTGAAGAAGGCAGATGGCCAGTTGCCACTGCTGGCCACGGTCACACGCAGCGATACCTGCTCCCAGAGTCACCGAATCGGGGGCCTTGGCGCAGGATCTTGTGGGGATCGCATTTCAGTATGGGGCATTTTCGGAAGAGACAGAAAACCACGAGAACGAACACGTGGCTGGATGGGTTTATCCGTCTATCCCTCACCCTACCCACAAATACACATGATATGCACATACATGCTTACAGACATAATGCATACGTGCATCAACATGCATACATACATCTACAGGAGTATCTACAGGTACATATGCCCTATAGGCATGGCCATTGTCATCGTCCTCAATAACATATACTGTACATATGTAAAACATACATAACTCATACATACCTACATGCATACTTGCGTGTGTACTTGCTTACTTGTGTGCGTGGGTGCATTTGTGGGTGCGTGGGTGAGTGTGTGCTTGCGCGCCTGCGTGCCTGCTTGCGTGCCTGCCGGCGTGCCTGCCAGCATCGTGCAGGCGTGCCTGCCGACCTGTGCCCGCGTGCTTGCCTGCCTGCCCGCCTGCCCGCCTGCCTGCCAGAGCAAGCATGCATAATATATGTATATCTATGTATATATATATATATATATATATATCTAATATACATAAGTATATACACAGCATACATAAATACCTTCGTACATACATATACTCTATACATCTACGTCTACGTACACGTGCACATGTACGGAAACATATACATACACATGCATACAGGTCCCAAACTCAGATGAAGTCCATCGCAGGCAAGCTTCCTCTGTGACACAATCAAGGCCGGCGTTCAGAACTGCAAGAATGAAAGCTCCCCCACTCTACACACTGGAGGGCCCTGGCTCCAAACTCCAAGCCTTCAACCCTCAACTTCATACCGTAGACTGAAACCTCAAAACTCGAAAAATGTCCAAAGTTCTCACCTCTACCCTTTAATCAAGCCGAGAACTCCAGTTACAAATCCTACACCTCCAAACGTAAGCCAAAGCTTTCCTAAGTCACACAAGGCTCAGGGCCGTCTGTGCGCATCGATGAAAGCATCCACAAAGCCCAGGGCCATCTACAGGGTGAAGCATGTGCAGTGTTAGGGCTAGGGTTGTTGGTCAGGGTTTCGGGTCTGCAGCTTATCATTCAAAACTAAATACTTCGGATTTACAACGTGTGGGATCTAAGCTGTACAGCTTCAACATTTCGGCTTCGGGCTACCGGTGTTCATGGTTTTCGTTCGGGGCTCAGACAGGCAATCCACACAGAATTAACAAGCCAACGGCGAGCACGCACACTTTAAAACTATCCGGAGGGTATGGAGCTTTTGAGTAAACCATCATGAAGATGCTACGCCCTAGACCCCGAAACTGCAAATCCCAGTACCCTTGAGATGTAGAAGTTTAGGCCTTTGGGACGTTTCGGGTTTAGGATTCTGGTTTGATTTTTGACAACGACGCACGCTGTCGCACGAGCGCAGGCACTGATAGTGGCACTGCAGCTGACGACGTCCGGCTGGGGGCCCTCACGCTGCATAAGCGCGAGTGCATCGCAAGCCTCCTCTTCAGGACTGTGGTGGTCCTATGGTCACTATACCAATACTTGAACTTAAACGATTTATGCCTACAGTCAAGAACTATACTGCTGCCTGCAACATAACACGAATTCAGCCTGGCCGGACGAGTGTACCAAACTTGGAAACACTCGCAAGCTGGTCAGCTTGAAGCTTCCTTCCTTCTACCTGCGACCTGCATGCAAAGGTGTGAAAGCTCAACACGACATCAAATTCAGACGACCACGACTTAGAGATGCACATCTGATCTTGCATCCATTATGCGCATAAGCAGACAATTGCAGACAGATAGCGGCTTTGGAAGCGCATGTTAACACAAGTGAACAAAGCAGCCAAGTCCATCCAGCCGTGCGAACACACGGGCAGGTATGCCTGGCCACCGCCCGCCCGCCCGGCGCACGAACGACCGCCCACCCACCTGCCGCCCGTCCCATTTCGTATGTCGACAACGATGGTTGCGTTTGACATGGAGGCACTGCTAACCTCGGATGCTTTCACATCACTGGTGCACGACAGTAATTCCAGAAGTCTTGGGTTGGCCAGTCCACTCGGACAGCACACGTGTTGTTTGGTTAGTGCTTCTGCTTTGCTAGCATATCTGCATACTTTTGATGAGACGAGTGGTTTATCGGATTTGTTTCCGTGAAAGCCCAAAATCCTATACCGTTCCAGTCCCGAGCAAGAAAATCTATACATGGGCTTCTAAGTAGCACCAGGGGGGGCAGACACGGGATCAAGACTCCAAGGAGAAGCTCAGGCTTTCAGGGAGGGAGGGAGGGAGGGA